TAAATCAATCTACATCATACAATCAATAGAAACCTTATATCCCAATTTCAGGATTACAGCTTTATCAGCCTTATCAAACAAATCAAAATTGTATAAAATTCAGTACACATTTGTACGAATATCTAAAACTTCATACATATCCCAATCCTACACCCCAACAGCGATCCTAACTCCAAATTTCAGAATTTCGGTTCACCCAAAATTCAAATTGTGCCAAATTTAATACACTCCAACAGTAGACTTCATTCCCAATTTCAATGATCCAGCTCTGTTGGTTCACTTAAGGGAACCCCCCCCCCCCCCCGCCCATTCCCGATTTTAATTTTTCAAGATTTTCAATGGGCTGGTAAATCAATACCAATGCCTATAAAGATATGTAACTTTGCAAATATATATTTGAAGATTTAAAAGAGAAGAAAAATAATTTACAAAAAATTTTGTAACTGTTTTGTTGTTGTTTTTGTATTTAAAGAAAAGTCCTTATTTTTGATGGCGGGAACATCGGAATCCGAAAATTCCAACGGTGTTAGAAGGAGTACATGTCTGGTTCTCGTATGAACTAAGATTATTGACTTCGCTCTAAAATTAACAAAATGGCAGACCTTTGAAAAAATATTTTTGGAAAATCACCGATTTTTGACCAAAACCAAGGAAGATCTTCACCAATTGGTTCATACTATAGCTATAGCTATAGCTCACAGAGAAACGTGTAAAAATTTGGAATCGATTGGGTTATTAGTTTTTGAGTTATCGTGCCCGCCATTCGCAAAAGAGAAAAACGCGTTTAAAATTTGAGAAGCCCTTTAGCCGTTACTTGATGCTGACACAATAAATCGGCTATATCTTCAAGATTTTCACTTGAAATTTTGTAGGGACATTCTTGAATTAGTGTAGATTCGAATTAAGTAAAAACCCTTAAACCACTTTCAAAATCATTGACTCATTTAGTACTTTTCGTACCGTCTTAGAACGAATTTCCAAGAACGCAGCCTTATCTGACACCTTCGGACTAGGAGTGACCATTTTCTAAAATTTCAAGATTCCAGTTTCGGGCGTTTCGTCTGAGCGTTGATGAATCGTTAAGTCAGCCAGTGTCAATATATGACACTGTCATTCGTAGAGTAAACAAAATACAGTGCAATCTGTATGTAATGTGTGTGTAAACACGCGGGCGTTCATTGCAATAAATTCAACAACCTACTTCTGAAAACTAACTTCTGCAGGTTAAGGTTTTTGAGAAAACACTTCTGGAAATATTTGCAGAAGTTCTTCGGCGAGTTACTCGCTAGTGAACACATAGCATATCAGATAAATACGTTATTATCGGCTGAAGGGCTTCCCAAACTTTGAACGCGTTTTTCTCTTTCGCGAATGGCTGGCACGATAACTCAAAAACTAATAACCCAATCGATTTCAAATTTTTACACGTTTCTCTGTGAGTGTATAGCTATCGTATGAACTAGGATAAAGTCAATCGGTGAAGATCTTCCTTATGTTTTAACTTGGTTTTTTGTCAAAAATCGACGATTTTCCAAAAATATTTTTTCAAAGGTCCGCAATTTTGTTAATTACAAAAAACAACAACAAAACAATAGCAAATTCTTTTAAATTATTTTTCTTCTCTTTTAAATCTTCAAATATATATGTGCAAAGTTACAAACCTTAGTTAGTTAGTTTGAAAAGAGGGGTGGTTGAGACCACCACATGTCCATTATGGGACATACACTTAAGCCATACAAGGCCTGTTGTGCGCTCCAGGAAGGAAAGGTATTTAGATTGGCATTATTTTTAGATTTTTGTTTGGTCTCCCTATTCTTCTAGGAATTCTGTGTTTTTACAGAAGTCCTTTAGTGTTTTCCATTCACATCCCCTTAGGTCATTAAGTTCAGGAATAGTGTCGTTTTTCAAGAATTGGGTACGGATGCATGCAAAAGCCGGGCAGTGGCATAGGAAATGTTCCAACGTTTCGTTGTTTTCCCCACACGCTCTGCACCTGTTGCTTCCCGAACACCCAATCTTGTGTAAATGTGACTGCAGGTTAAGGTGTCCTGTCAGAATGCCTATCAGTCTGCTTAGTTCTTTCTTGTTTAGCGTAAGTATTTGCTTAGTTTTACCCTCATTTCGGTCTCCCCATAAGCTTTTTGTGTTTTTTCCAATCCTCTCGTTATTCCAGAGTGTTTTGTGCGCCTCTTTCGCCCATGACCTCATTTCTAGACGTAAAGCGCTAAAAGGTTTTGCACAGTTCACATCTATGTTGGTTAGGTCAGTAGCACGTCTGGCGAGTTGGTTGGCTATCTCGTTTCCTATGACTCCTGAGTGACCCGGTACCCATATTATACGTACAAGACCGTGTCGTGAGAAGTTGTTTATTGTTTTTATGCATTCCAGTACAGTTTTTGATGTTATTGCATTAATAGCATGTTTACTATCTGTCATGATATTTATGTTATTATGCCCAGAGTTAGAGCTTAGCCATTTTAGACACTCCGTTATAGCTTGAACCTCCGCCTGTAGGATCGTGTTGTGATCTGGCAGGCGAAGTGAGATTTCAGTCCCCGGTTCTTCAATAAAAAGTCCCAGTCCCGTCTTTCCCGCTAGCCGGGAGCCATCCGTGTAACAACAGTTTCCCGGAGACATATGTGCTAGTGTTCCGCTGTTCCATGAGTCTCTGTCCGGTATCAGAATTTCACACAATGTGATTACTCTTGTTTCAGGTATTCGATGTATGGGTGGAACTGGGTGGGTGCATATGCCTAGACAACAAGTTCTTTGGACTTTCTGTAGTGTTATTACATTACATTTTTTGTCTATTGTTGTCCACCAGACTTCAGACGCGTAAGTTAGAATTGGCCTAATAACGCTCTTGTAGATCCAGTGTACCATCTTTGGGTTGAAACCCCATTTAGAGCCCACGGCTCTTCTACAGAAATGCCAGCATCTATGGGCCTTTTCGACCCGTTGATGTATGTGGTCTTTCCATCTAAGTTTTCTATCTAGGATGACACCCAGATATTTGACTTTATTTGATATTGCTATCGCTTTGTTTTGAAAAATTGGTTCTTCATACTGTTCTATTTTTGTCTTTATAGTAAAGAAGCATATTTCCGTTTTGTCCGGATTTACGTTTAGACCCCTCGGCTTCGCCCAATTAAAAGCGATGTTTAACGCCGTTTCAGCCTTCCTGCATAGTAAGTTAGGGTTCTTTCCCCTTAGAAGTATTATAACGTCGTCTGCATAACAGACTGGTTCAAAAACATCTTCGGTTAAGTTTCTTAAGAGACTACTGATAGTGGTGACCCACAGGAGTGGTGACAGTATCCCTCCCTGCGGTGTCCCCTGTCCTACTTTGTCCCTGATAGTTATGTCTTGTAAGCTATAGTTTATCCATCTGTTCCTTAGCATATGGTTGACCCAGTCTATAATTGCCTGGTCAACACTGAAGGCTTCTAAGGATTGGATAAGTGTTTCGGTGCTGACATTATTAAAGGCTCCTTCGATGTCAATGCAGACTGCTAAAGTGTACATTTTCTTGTCGAAAGTTCCTTCGATGTGGTGTACTACCTCATGTAAAGCGGTTTCCACTGATCTCCCCTTTATATACGCATGTTGTTTAGATTTCAGCGTGTCATTGGGGATGCTGCTCTTTATTATGGTGTGGATTGTCCGTTCCATGGTTTTGAGTAGAAATGAAGTAAGGCTAATTGGCCTGTAGGCTTTTGGTGTTGCGTAGTTTGCCTTGCCGGGCATGGGTATGAAGACTACCCTGGCTTCCTGCCAGGCTTTGGTTGTGTACGCAAACCTTATACATGCATTGAAGAGTGCCGCTAAAAATGGTGATATATAGTTTACCTCTTTTTGTAAAAGAGCAGGGAATACGTTGTCTGGCCCTGCCGCTATATGGTGAGAAGCTCTTTATAGCATCTCGTACCATTGATTCGCCGATCTTAGGTTCCACAGATCTTGCTCCCCTTGTTACCGTAGCGTCATCCCTTATGGATGGGTTCGGTGGGAAGTGAGCGTTCATCAGAAGCCTTATAGTTTCTTCAGTTGTTTCCATCCTTTTCCCTCTTTTTATTTTTGATACGTCATTTACGCTATCGATCTTTCACAGAAGGTTTTGCAGGAGTTGCGTTTGGCGGTTCTTGTCATTTTGTTCTATTCTTTCTGCTTGTCGTGGAAGTTGTCCCAGTGTACTATTAATTTCTTGCGGCGTGCTCTATTGTAAAGATTTCGGACTTCTTTCCCTTTATTTCGAATCTCCCCGGTCATCCAGGGTTTTTCGAAGGCAGATTTCCTTTCTCGAAGAGGACAACTTTCTTCCACACTGTGTTAAAATATAATTATGAACCTCTATACAAAAGCTCTATATGAAATACCCAACAGAAAAAAATCTTAAACATGACATTCTTTTACATATTTTCTTTTTATTATAAATTTATTACAACTATATGTTTTTTGTTTGTCTTTGTTTAATAATGCTTACAATAATATTTTATTTTTCGTTTTTGTTTTTTTAATAAATAACATTTAATTGCATATCGTTATACAGTCTTTCGTTACTCTCACACAAAAATGCTGCTACTTACAAACTAAGAATTGACCAAAAAATAAAAATAAAGTAAAAAACTGATTGCACTCGTTGTGGAATGAATGATAGAACAAAAAACAAAAGTTAAAAAATTAAACGCCACAACAAACAACACATTTAAAAATCACAAATTTATGCTAATATACAAATGTTTATTAAAGGTTAAACTTAAACAATGTGCAGTTGTTGTGGCGATTTATTTTTAAAAGATTTTTGTTTTTTTTTCGATTTTGTTTAGCTTAAATTAAAAACAATCTGGTAACTCTTAAAAAGAAATAAATAAATCAATAGAAAAAATCAATATAGTAGAGAATACTTTTAGTTGTATGCCTGTGTGTGTGGGTTAGTATGTGTTATTGGTGGTTTAGTGTGTGGTTGGGTGTGTGTGTGTGTGTTTGTTTTTGGGGCGCATCTAAAACACACGATCACGAAGTATTAAACTTAGTGGCGTTTTAGGCGCTAACAAAAATTCAAATTCCGTTTCCAACGGTTTTGTGAATTTAATATCGAAAGCAAGCAGTAGCTGTAATAGAAGAACAATTTGTTAATTTAATTCATTTCACGAAAAATAGAGAGGGAGAGAGCTCTACGAACCTTGGCCAACAGCAACACAATTTCCATTTCCACAAATCGTTTACCCGGACAGGTTCGTTTTCCAATTCCGAATGGTACCACAATTGTTGAACTTTCAATGTTAACACTGAAATTTCCCTCCTTGTCGATCCATCGTTCGGGATGAAACGTTTTGGCCTCAGGGAAATTATTATCCTTGTGACAGGCGAGCATATTTTGGCAGAGTACAACTGTCTGTAAATGCGGGAAATTATTAAAGTTTATTAATAAAAGAAGTTAATAAAAAGGGATTGAGATCTAGAGGATTGGAAGATAAATTAAAATTTAATGTTTTTTGTTTGAAAAATTGTTACGAATAATGATTTGACAGAAATCAATAATTTTGATGAAAGTATAGAAGAATGGCTTGACTGGAAGTAAGAGAAATTATCTTATTAGAATAAATAATGTAATTGGGGTATTTGGAATTGTTTTTTTTATATTTTAAGTAAAAACTAGTAGCAGTTTTAATGTTTAATAAAAGGGTAAAGAGATGATTTGTTGAATGATTATGGAAATCCATGCGTTTGAGAACCCTAGAAAAATTATTTTGGATAGCCCCTGAAAAAATATTTTTTTAAAAATCCACGCCTTAAATAGCCCCTGAAAAAATATTTTTTTAAAAATCCACGCCTTAAATAGCCCCTGAAAAAATATTTTTTTAAAAATCCACGCCTTAAATAGCCCCTGAAAAAATATTTTTTTAAAAATCCACGCCTTAAATAGCCCCTGAAAAAATATTTTTTTAAAAATCCACGCCTTAAATAGCCCCTGAAAAAATATTCTTTAAAAAATCCACGCCTTGAATAGCCCTTGAAAAAATATTCTTTAAAAAATCCACGCCTTGGATAGCCCTTGAAAAAATATTCTTTAAAAAATCCACGCCTTGGATAGCCCTTGAAAAAATATTCTTTAAAAAATCCACGCCTTGGATAACCCTTGAAAAAATATTCTTTAAAAAATCCACGCCTTGGATAGCCCTTGAAAAAATATTCTTTAAAAAATCCACGCCTTGGATAGCCCTTGAAAAAATATTCTTTAAAAAATCCACGCCTTGGATAGCCCTTGAAAAAATATTCTTTAAAAAATCCACGCCTTGAATAGCCCTTGAAAAAATATTCTTTAAAAAATCCACGCCTTGGATAGCCCTTGAAAAAATATTCTTTAAAAAATCCACGCCTTGGATAGCCCTTGAAAAAATATTCTTTAAAAAATCCACGCCTTGGATAGCCCTTGAAAAAATATTCTTTAAAAAATCCACGCCTTGGATAGCCCTTGAAAAAATATTCTTTAAAAAATCCACGCCTTGGATAGCCCTTGAAAAAATATTCTTTAAAAAATCCACGCCTTGGATAGCCCTTGAAAAAATATTCTTTAAAAAATCCACGCCTTGGATAGCCCTTGAAAAAATATTCTTTAAAAAATCCACGCCTTGGATAGCCCTTGAAAAAATATTCTTTAAAAAATCCACGCCTTGGATAGCCCTTGAAAAAATATTCTTTAAAAAATCCACGCCTTGGATAGCCCTTGAAAAAATATTCTTTAAAAAATCCACGCCTTGGATTGCCCTTGAAAAAATATTCTTTAAAAAATCCACGCCTTGGATAGCCCTTGAAAAAATATTCATTAAAAAATCCACGCCTTGGATAGCCCTTGAAAAAATATTCTTTAAAAAATCCACGCCTTGGATAGCCCTTGAAAAAATATTCTTTAAAAAATCCACGTCTTGGATAGCCCTTGAAAAAATATTCTTTAAAAAATCCACGCCTTGGATAGCCCTTGAAAAAATATTCTTTAAAAAATCCATGCCTTGGATAGCCCTTAAAAAAATATTCTTTAAGAAATCCATGCCTTAGATAGCCCTTGAAAAAATATTCTTTAAAAAATCCACGCCTTGGATAGCCCTTGAAAAAAACATTCTTTAAATAATCCACGCCTTGGATAGCCCTTGAAAAAATATTCTTTAAAAAGTCCACGCCTTGTATAGCCCTTGAAAAAATATTCTTTAAAAAATCCAAGCGTGGGATAACCGTTAAAAAATAGTTTTTAAAAGTGCAAGCCTTCTATAGCTTTTAAAAAATATTATTTAAAAACTCCACGCCTCGGTCAGCCCGTGAAAAAAAATATTTTTTTAAATATACACGCCTTGGATAGCCTTTGAAAAAATATATTTTTTTAAATATACACGCCTTGGATAGCCTTTGAAAAAATATATTTTTTTAAATATACACGCCTTGGATAGCCTTTGAAAAAATATTCTTTAAAAAATCCACGCCTTGGATAGCCCTTGAAAAAATATTCTTTAAAAAATCCACGCCTTGGATAGCCCTTGAAAAAATATTCTTTAAAAAATCCACGCCTTGGATAGCCCTTGAAAAAATATTCTTTAAAAAATCCACGCCTTGGATAGCCCTTGAAAAAATATTCTTTAAAAAATCCACGCCTTGGATAGCCCTTGAAAAAATATTCTTTAAAAAATCCACGCCTTGGATAGCCCTTGAAAAAATATTCTTTAAAAAATCCACGCCTTGGATAGCCCTTGAAAAAATATTCTTTAAAAAATCCACGCCTTGGATTGCCCTTGAAAAAATATTCTTTAAAAAATCCACGCCTTGGATAGCCCTTGAAAAAATATTCATTAAAAAATCCACGCCTTGGATAGCCCTTGAAAAAATATTCTTTAAAAAATCCACGCCTTGGATAGCCCTTGAAAAAATATTCTTTAAAAAATCCACGTCTTGGATAGCCCTTGAAAAAATATTCTTTAAAAAATCCACGCCTTGGATAGCCCTTGAAAAAATATTCTTTAAAAAATCCATGCCTTGGATAGCCCTTAAAAAAATATTCTTTAAGAAATCCATGCCTTAGATAGCCCTTGAAAAAATATTCTTTAAAAAATCCACGCCTTGGATAGCCCTTGAAAAAAACATTCTTTAAATAATCCACGCCTTGGATAGCCCTTGAAAAAATATTCTTTAAAAAGTCCACGCCTTGTATAGCCCTTGAAAAAATATTCTTTAAAAAATCCAAGCGTGGGATAACCGTTAAAAAATAGTTTTTAAAAGTGCAAGCCTTCTATAGCTTTTAAAAAATATTATTTAAAAACTCCACGCCTCGGTCAGCCCGTGAAAAAAAATATTTTTTTAAATATACACGCCTTGGATAGCCTTTGAAAAAATATATTTTTTTAAATATACACGCCTTGGATAGCCTTTGAAAAAATATATTTTTTTAAATATACACGCCTTGGATAGCCTTTGAAAAAATATTCTTTAAAAAATCCACGCCTTGGACAGCCCTTGAAAATTATTCTTTAAAAACTCCACACCTCGGTCAGCCCTTGAAAAAATATCCACGCCTTGGATAGCCTTTGAAAAAATATTCTTTAAAAAATCCACGCCTTGGACAGCCCTTGAAAATTATTCTTTAAAAACTCCACACCTCGGTCAGCCCTTGAAAAAATATCCACGCCTTGGATAGCCTTTGAAAAAATATTCTTTAAAAAATCCACGCCTTGGACAGCCCTTGAAAATTATTCTTTAAAAACTCCACACCTCGGTCAGCCCTTGAAAAAATATCCACGCCTTGGATAGCCTTTGAAAAAATATTCTTTAAAAAATCCACGCCTTCAATACGCATTGAAAAAAATATTTTTTTGAAAATGTTCTTTAAAATCTACCCCTTGTATAGCTCTTAAAAGATGTTATTTCCCGCTTCCCCTGTAATATAACTCATCACAAACCTTTCATTTCTCCCTTTTTTGTAAACATTCGAAAAAAATACTAATTTATTTTTTTATAGGTAATCACGTTAGCACGGTACCAGCTAACCCAAACCTAAATTATATCAACAAGATAAACCAAACTTTACCACTTACCCCTGCTTTTAATTCATAACCCGACAACTGCATATCCTCCTCCAATATTCGCGCCAAACAAAATGCTGTCGGTCGGATGCGATACGATTCCTGTATACAGGCTTTGGTGTAGGTGGCATTGGTGAAAGCATCCTGCAGAATTATTGTGTGGCGGTGGTCTTGAAATTCTTGAAGAATTTTGGCGATCACCTCTTCATTGCCGGTAACCGAACTCAGGACAAACAACAAAGTATTGGCGAGCTGTAAACAAAGACAAAACGAAAAAAAAATCTTAAAGTGCAGTTCGGCGGGTGCTCTATTATTTCAATCTTACCGTCTCAATGCCGGCCGCAATGAAATCAATTATAGCTGATTTTTTGTCCCTGATATCCAAATCCTTCAGATCCAAAATATGTTGAAATACACTGCGAACATCGTCATCGTGATGCATGAAGTTAGCATTGTTCTCCTCCAGCGCCTGGTCGACCATTTCCGAAATCACACTATGCATGAACTGAGAAGTTACTTTCTAGATTTCTTGGGAGCTAGGGCGTGACAATAATCGCTCTCGATCGTCTGTACTTACTCATAAATGGTTTCCTCGGCGTGGGCAAATTTCCTGTAGGTCTGCGTGGGAAAATACTTCCACATGCCGAAGCCATAGTAGGAATCTCTTTGGGATATGAACAGCTGCTTGACAGCGGCCGCCAATTGTTTTATCTTCTCCGGCTGTTCGGTATTGGTGGATAGAAATCCCATGCGACGTCCCAACATTAGGGTGCATACCGCCTCTAGACCCATCAGATTGGCAATATCTTCAAAATTGGTAACCTCAAAGGTGTGAGGATCTCTATTTGCTTTTAAAAGATCAATAAAATCATCACATACCAAATTCAGGGCTGGCAAAAAGTTTTGCAATATTCTCGGCGATGTTATGAACGATGTTAGGGAGGAGCGGAGTTTTTGCCATGTTGGACCCTGTCTAAACAGAGGAGGGTTTTAATCGAGGGGAAACACAACAGAAAAGAACGCAGTTATCGACAATGGCATGGAAACCACAAAACTTACTCATTAACAATGCCAACACTGGCATAACGTTCGGGACGGGAGCGGCGATAAGTTACCACAATTTCTGTGGGGGGTCTAAAGGGATATTTGCTGGGATATTTCAAGACTCTTTCCAAATCGGCACGATTGAAGAGATGGACAATGGGTAGGCCGGATGGCATGACTTCTAAAACAATGTCACCATATTTGCGGTTTAGATCTGGAAAAACAACGAAAAAGAGTGGGGAGGGGAAGGGGGATGAAGTCTGAAATAATAAATAGTTAATTCACAGAAACTTACCAGCATACACCTCATGCAGTTTGGACATTTTATATTTTCGAAAAAATAATAGAAAAATCCATTTTGTTCCCAGCAATGGCAGTGGTTTTGGTCCTGGTATATCAAACACCCCTTTGGGCCGTATTTCTTTTGCGTGATAATAATCTGTCTCTGTGGTTATCGAGGCCTCCGAATCATTTGCATATTTATTCAATTGATCCTTGTTGAGCAGCAGCGGTTTTATATAGCATTCGGAAAATTTCCGCAAATCCAAATTACAATAGAAGGCGAGCAGTATGGCAATTGCCATTAATAATATTAGAGCCATAACCATGGAAAATCTAAAAAGGATAATAAAACAAGAAAAATTTTGGAACTATTAAATTTAATTTGGTTCGGAAAAGAAAAAAGAAAAGAAACATATTTTGCTACAGATTTTCTGAAGTATATTTTTAGCATTATTTAGAAAATTGATCAATTTAGCAAGAGTTTGTAACATATTCGATCCAGTAATAAAATTCTAAGTTCTGAGTTGCACGTTAGTCAAAACTTATCAGTTAACACAATCTCACTCAAGGGACGTTTAATGACTAATTTACAGCAAAACCTATTGCGTTGCCGAATATATTAAGCGAGTCCGAATTGGCTGCTTAGATAATATGAACGATAGTATGGAAGGTTCATTGAATTTTATATTCAGGTTTAATATATTTTATATTGAACCCCTAATGAAAAATCCGTGAGGGGAGCAGTATTGTCAGATTGAACGGAAATTTATAATTCTGCAAAAAGATCGACATGCAAACAGCAAACTTATTCGTTGTCCCGATCCACTTCTCTGTTAAAATTTCGTGGTGTTGGAATCATAAATGTGATCTATGACATTTAAAAAGAAAAAAAAAATAAGGAAATTATAAATGTTGGAGGGAGTATATGTTGTTCTCCGCCATTTTGGGTACATCCAATAATTTTCTATTATATACCGATTTAAACCAAGCATAAAAAATTCAACTCAAATGATTGTGGTTGGATGTGGACAATATTCTGCCTTTGGTGAATTATTGGCATTAAATGGAACGTAATTCTATATCCTTTGTTCTCCTCCATATCTTAACACTACACACCAATTCTTGTCGCCACAGAAATCTAGCTCTATTCTAAATGTGGTACAATTTATTACCTTTTGCAATCTTGTAGTACTTTTTAAAACTAATTACACATTTTAACACATTTTAGTACACATTAATATAAATTTCCATATCTACCTACATATATCAACAATCTAATAAAAATCATATTTCCTAATTTCAGGATTCTACCTCACCCGAAACCATTGAATACACATAAGTACGATTTTCCAAAACTTCATAGATATCCCAACCCTAATTGTAACCATTGAATACACATAAGTACGATTTTCCAAAACTTCATAGATATCCCAACCCTAATTGTAATTTTCAGGATTCGCTCGATCGGATCACCTAAATCCAAGTTATATACATTTTAATGCCATTTAGTACATAAATTATCATTTAAAACCAATAAAAATCTCATTTCCCAATTTCAGGATGCCAGCTTCATATCCCAATCCTACACTCCAACGGTAATGTTAATTTAAAATTTCAGGATTCTGTTCCTCCAAATTCAATTTGTACCAAATTTAGTACCGTTTATTACTTTTACTTTACATGAGTACACAATTCCTACACCACTTCCTTTTTCGATCATATTTTCGCATTCCAAATTTCAAGTTTTTAGCTCTATCCGTTCACATGCTACGAAATTGTTACAAATTTAGTACATTTTAGTACTTTTCGGGCATTTTTAGTTCAAATTTCCAAAAACCCTTTGTTACATTTATCTACATTCCACCAATGATCCTCATTCTAAATTTTTAATTCTAAAAACTTAGCCTTATTCGAGATGTTTGAGACTGATCCTCACCCCATATTTCAAGATTCTAGTTTCAGGCGTTTCGTCTGGACGTTAATGAATCGTTAAATCAGTCAGTCAGGCAATCAGTTTACTCTTTTATTAGTATAGATAACTCACACATCCGGCACAGACATCAATATACGTGGCATTAATTTCAAAGGAACTTTTCCCAACCAAATGACCTGTACGGGGTCTAATATTTATATTTTTGGCAAAATCACGCCATCTTTCAAAAGAATTGAGATTGGGCGATGACAATTTTCTTAGTCATAGTTTTGACGGCCCTAAACGTGGGTATAGCCTCCATATACCGGTATCCCGAAATTTCAGGTATTTTGGGGATTTTGTTTACGCGCTAATTCTACCGAATGGGCTGTTATTTGGTATTCTCTAAAATCATCAACTAAAAATTACCCTGATCGGTGCATCTTTAGGTATATCCCAGATATAACAGTACCACCAAATTGCTGCAGTTTATTATCGTCCATCATCAAAATTATCAATATCGGTCCAAATGATGGTGCATTTTGAGGACTTAAGATACTTTTCCTAATTCTAATTATCAATATCGGTTTATTTTTTAGAAATTAGTCCCATATAACGATAACCCTGATTTTAGGCTTATTGATCATTATGGACATGACTTTTATATATATAATCTGATATGTTGGTGTCTCGTTGGGTACACATCTTCAAACCAACAAATATAAAGGATGATAACTTCGGATCAGACGAACTTTTTATACCCTCTACCATGACGATGACAATAAACAATTTGAAATTAATGGGAGATCCTAGGAGAAAACTCATGTTATGATAGGACCTTGAATATAGCGAAAAACAAGTGAGAAATAAATAATTTAAAATACAAAATACCGAATTGCAGCCAAATTCGGTTGAAAACCCTGCCCAGAATTCTCAAATTCTTGGGTAAATATTAATAATTTTTGGGTTGTGAGAACCCAAAATACCAAATTACGAATTTGTACACATTTTTTACATTTTTCAACCGACATGGCACCATATACCCTATATAACGGTACTCACCGATTTTCGATGTTTGAAGGATTCTTGAGACGTTTTTCTGGCGAATCAGCTGTAATTAGTTATTTTGGCTTCTCTTTCGACTGCGAATCTCCCTACAAACATTTATCAAATTTGGCCGATGTTTTAGGGTAGCCTTCATTATAATGATACCCTCAGATTTTCGCTATTTTTAGTGAAACATGTTTCAACCGAATTAGAAGTAATTACATATTTTGGGTTCAAATTAGGTGGAGGATATTCCTACTAAAAATTATTAACATCGTTTCATCTTCAGCAATAGCCCCATATTTTTTTGTTGGTATTTTGAGAATTTTGGACACATTTTTCTAACCACATTGGTAGCAATTTCATATTTTGTGTTGGTCCATGGTTAGATAAACATGTATGGTATCCCAAAAATTCGGTATTTAACAATGTTATGGAAATTTGCAATTAAAATTGGCTGCAAGTCAGCATAGGTTTTTGTCATATTCCATATATATAGATTTCGAATCATTCACTGCAGTGTAGTATTTAAAAATTTGATATTTGGAGATGTAATCATCAGATGTATCATCTGAATACACAAACTCGGTATTTACAGCAATCGATAGACGAATGGGTATAACATCTAATGGGAGAATGGGAATAAAATCTAGAAAGAAGCATATCACTACTGGCAATTTACTGTAAATAGATTTCCTACGATCTGACAACTCTTTTGGGATTTGGATAACATATTCTAGCATTGCACTATAGGTCAAATGACCAGCTTTTCTGTGCAAGATTGGAAAAATCAAAGTGTCGTTCTTCACGAGTTGTTGTTGTTTTTGTATTTAGAACACTCTAAAATAGAGACACGTGATATTAATTAGTGCTAAACATAAAGTACCGTTACACAGCTGGCCATGCATGTCGCTCAATACAATTTATTCTATAAATATGCTTATATTTCTGTGGGGCTTAGTTAACTTTGAGTGCGTATTATTTCGATTTTGTTTACAATAATTAATTAGTGTAAAAAGGAAAATATAGATACAAGTGAGTATATTTATATTAAATCAAAACATTTTTATGTTTGCGACACTATACTTGAAAATAACCCTTTAGTCTATGAAGACTTTAAAAAGTTAAAGTAATTTGGTAGATTGATTTTCAGTAAGCTATTAAAAAAATGACCCAATATGACCTCTTTGAAATTTTGCACATAAATTAAGTGATAATTAATGAGTTAATTTAAATTTATTTCAAGTTGCGATTTTTTGCGTTTTGCGAGTAATGCCTCTTTTATCTAGGCAACCTCCGTATAAAAAATCGAACTTTTTGAAATATGGCGAAAAGAAGGTAACAAAAAGGAAAAACCTGTTTGCAGTTTTCAAACATGTAGTGAGCAAAATTGATGTCGACAACATTTCGGATGAAAGAGAGCAATTTTTTAAGCAAATAGTACATTTATTTTGCTTAAAATTAGCGAAAATGTTGTAAAAAAGTCACAGAAAGATGAATGTTTTCAAAGACATCCTGAAAAGAAAGATCAAAAGTCGGACGGGCCGACTATATGATACCCTTTACCACTTTGGGTACAAACAAAATATGATAATGTGTACAATATCCTGTTGATAGAAGAGACATACCATCTTTGGATGACCATTAAAATGGAATCGGGTAAAAAACAAATGTGATCTACATAGATATTTGAGCCAATAAAAACCATACACATGACATTCTGAAATCTATAAGAAAATTGCATGCCAATCGCATAAATATTGAAAGTTTGGTGCACCATTTACCTAAAATCTCAATATGGACTGATTTCAAGGAAAACTTCATAGATGCCAAACTGGACTGAACTCAGTACGCTGTGCAAAATTTCTTTTAAATCGGACCATTATTGGGAGTTTGGTGCACCATTTACATAAAATCGGACGAAACTATGTATGTGTGCTGTATATAAATCTGGACCGATTTCAACAAAACTTCACAGATGTCAAACTCGACTAAATTTCGTACGCTGTGCAAAATTTTGTCCCAATCGGGCAAACATTTTCAGTTTGGTGCACCATTTACCTAAAATCGACGAAACTATATATGGGAGCTATATCTAAATCTGAACCGATTTCAACAAAACTTGACACATATCAATCCAGACCTAATTCAATACTCTGTGCAAAATTTTGTCTAAATCGGACTAATATTGGCAGTATGGTGGCCCATTTACATAAAATCGGACGAAAATATATATGGGAGCTATATCCAAATCTGAACCGATTTCTTCCAAATTCAACAAAAACGATTCAAGTAACACAAAAAAATAAGTTGGGCCAAATTTCATGACGAATACTATGATTTTGTTGCCGCTATTAATTTTGCACAGAAAAAGT